TGCCCAGACATCCAGTTTAATTCTAGCTGTCAGTGTCATAAAGCAAGCTAGAACACCAAAGCAAGCACCTAACTGCTTTCTGATGGCAATATCTTAATTTTTTTTATATTTTTGCTGCAGTACACTCCATCATTTACATGAATGTTATACTTGTCAATTAAAGCATAACAAAATGTTCTGTTCACCAAATCCCCAAAATAGAAAAGGCTTCCAAAAGCATATACCTATACATGTAAATCAGCTTTAAGTTATCAACAAAGCAGATTTATCGCACTGATTTGGCAGCAGCTAATAATAAACAGCTTTGCTGTACATGTGAAATTCCTCCTTCCCAATCAAGCATAGCTATAATATCTGTCCTCTCCATAGAGGCCTCAAACAATGGCTTAAATGTGCCTGTTGCAGATAAGATCACATTAAGGCTTTACATGATAAACAGCACAGATGTTCAAGTAAATCTGTGAACAGTTAAATATGTTCCACTATGCCTGAAATGGAAGAAAACCTGTTAGATGATATATCTCTCTGAGCCTTGGTTCACACTGATGTGGTGCGGAATTCGCAGCATTTTCAGTGGGAATTCCACACTGCATCAGAATTGCACCCAGTTCATGCGACCGCTGCGGGTGTGTATGTTAACAATCGGTCCGTAAAACGCAGGAGCGATGTGCAGAATAGGATCGCATAGGTGTGAATACCCATGCAATCCAATTCTAGTGTGGACCCAAAAAAGGATCCTGCACTTTTTTGGTGCGGGTGCGGAGCGATTAGAGCCATACAAAATGTATGGCTCCAATCGCACCACACACAAATCGCATGTGATTTGCACAGGAATGCAGTGCGGTTCCTGTGTGAATCACATGCGATATACTGCACTGCATATATGTGAACCCAGGCTAACTAGTGTTGATTAAAATCATATGCTGTATATTTACGTTGACATGTTACCAGTGGCTCCCCCATTAAGTTCAGCCCTTTTTAAAGGCAAAACTAATTGTCCAAAGAGATGTAAGACAACCAACCAGAAATGATTTAAGACCATAGTACATTTAAATTTGACGATTGGTTTTGCTGTGGGTTACAGCACTTTGTACATCACTGCTGTGCAGGCTAATAAATAAGCTTGATCATGTACAAACCAGGTTAACAAAACGTGTAAGCTTTTCTTGCAGCTTTTTAAAGAACATTCTACCGCTGGCAACAGCCAAAGTGCACTCTGGTTAATTGAATCAGTAATGGGAGATGCGAAGTTCAGGCTCTTTTTTTGGAAAAGAAAGGAAATGTGAACAATTCCATTTTTTTTCCATGGGACTTTTAGCAGCAAAGGAAAACAATTTATATAAAAATGTATATTATATTTGTAGAATTTAAAAAAAAAAATATTTTGCATAAAATCTTATTGCAGTATGCATATACCCACCGGTGGGGTTAACCATAGATACATGTCCATTATTAGAATTTCTGCACAAAGTGCCCCCTGCAAGGGGAACCAGGAAATGTGAACTAAAACTTCCACTGCTACATACATTATAGCCATCAGAAATGTTTTACAGTTCCCTGCTTCTCATCATAGTAGATTTGGTCAATGTTCACAAACTGATATTTGACTGTATAAGTGTTAATGTACCATATCTGCTCTAGGGCTCATGTACACGGGGCATTTGGAAAACTTCTGAACGATGGAAACGGACTGCTGGAAAACGTAGGTTTAAAAACGTCAGTTTAGCTGCATTTGCATACCGCGTTTAGGCATGTTTGTGTTTAGAAGCGTTTTTAAAAGAACTTCTGAAGACCCTCCCAAATGCCCAGAAAAATAGTGAAAAATTAACTATTTCAGACATTTTGAGAAAAATGGAGAGAGCAGAAGCAGACAGAGCAGTATTTGTTGAGATTACCTGTCTTTTCTGGTTGTATTCACTATGGATCCCTTCATGAGCATAATGCAGGACGTTCTACCATTTGTTCCTTCACACAAAACCTGGAACTGATTGCGCTGATGTACTAGGTGCATTTGAATACATGGAAAAAGCTTTGCATGTATTTCTGATGATGAAAAGAGGCTCTGGACATCATCTGGACATGGAACAGTTAAAAAACGCTTCTAAAACACAATGCTTATAAACACGGTTAACCGCGTTTAGAAGCATCTGGCGTTTGAAACGCCGGTAAAATCTACTCCTGAAAGCAAGTTTGGTGTGTTCAAAAAAAACGACTGTAAACGACTATGTGTACATGAACACATAGGAAAACATTAGGGAGAGTTTCAGGGGCTGCTGAAAAAAACGCTGAACAGCTCCTAAACGTCAGTTTATCAGTTGCAGTGTACATGACCCTGACAGTAATTCAGACATGCACTGAATAATTTCATGCATTATCTGTTTATCTAATTAGAGAGCCCAGAACAAGTTCTGCATTGATGTACTCCTTTTCAGACTGAAGCTCTAGAATTTTGGAGGGTTTAAGGTGAATTGCCCTTCCTCTGGGTAGAGCCTGAGATCTTGCTATTCAGGCCTAAATTAGTTGGTAACCACAGACAAAGAAAGAAGAATAAGTAATGACCACGTGCAAGAGAATACACTTGGTATTAAAAAGTCACCCCTATGAGGATGATTTACTAAAGGAAAATAAGCTGCTGACTTTGCAAGGGGACTCTCACTTTACAGGGGGAAGTTTTCCTTAGTTTGGGGAATATCATGAATATTAATTTTGCAAAGAATACCTTATGTGCAAGCAAAGATAAAAAAAAACAGGAATTCTGCTTGCACATGACTGGATGATTGAAGTCAGCAGAGCTTCACCTAATTCAATAAGCTAAAGGAAAACTCCCTTGCAAAGTGGATATCCTATTATCAACCCCTATGCTGGGAGATCTCTTGGAAAAACGGTTTTGACAAAAAGGAATGTAGCCATAGCCAAAGCAGCACTGCCCAGAAAAGAAGTGTCCCCCTAGACCAGTGGTCTCCAAACTGTGGCCCAGGGGTCAAATATGGCCCTTGCTAACCTTTACTTAGCCCTTGGTGCATTATTCCTCCGACTGCACACCAACAGTGGGGCATACTTCCTGCCACTGACACTAATGATGAGGTATTTTTCCTCTCATTGAAACCAACAACGGGGCACCACTGGACACCAACTTTATGGCATAATTCCTGCCGTGCACACAAACAATGGGGCACTGACAGCAATAATGGGACACTTAAACAAAGAGGGGGTGCAGCGCTATTAAACTCAACAATGACACCAATGCATATATGGAGTGACAAGGTGCAAACACAGAGACCACTAGATGGTGGTCAAAGGTGCTAAAGGGTGTTGACTCCGTTAAAAAGTCCAGAGAGAAAAAGTGCTGGTGAGATTTCAGATGATCTCGGAGTGTCCAGTGATATGGACCGTAGATCTTGGTGATAAATGAGATTGCACACTCACCAGATACGCAATTCAAATGCACATAAATAGTAGTAGCCTCTGGTAATCTAGATGTCATCCAGATAGGTCTGGTCAGATCAGGTCCGATTGGTCCTTATTCCCTGATGAGGTTATCACTCATGGGGGATCCCCACTCAATGGATACAGTCTGCTCCCATGGGGTCTCCTCACAAAGAATATGGCTGGTTCTGCAAAGGTGATTGGCTCTCAAGGGAGATTTTACAGATGATATTTTCTCTCATTTTCTTGATTTAGAGTGGAGATCCAATCGATATAGAACTTGAGGTTAAAGCAGAAGAAGAGGAGGCGTACGGGAGGGATGATCATCCCAAACTGGGGCATAATTTCTGCCACTGACACCAACAATGGGGCATAATTCCTCTGACTGACACCAATGATGGGGCACTACCTCCCACTGGCACAAATGATTGGGAACTATTTTCCCACTAATTCCTATAATGGGATACGATTTTTCCTCCTCCTGACTACAGACACTATGGGGTTGAGTTACTAAAACTGAAGAGTGCAAAGTCTGGCGCAGCTCTGCGTAGAAACCAATCCACTTTCAGGATTCTTTGTCTAAACTTAATTGAACAAGCTTACGTTAGAAATGATTGGCTACTATGCACAGCTGCACCAGATTCTGAGTGCTCCAGTTTTAGTAAATCAACCTTTTTTTTTTACTCCCACTGACCACCACGCCTGAGACATTGATTACTTACCACTGATGCCAGGACATTTTCTATTCCCACTGGCCACAATTTTGCCCACCTAAAATCTAAAAGACAGTAAACGGGTCCCTTGTTTAGAAAGCTTGAAGACCCATGCCCTAAACTGATACCCAATACCCACAGTTTAGTTTTCGGCAGCTAAACAGAAAAGTGAGCTGGTCTCATTCTTTACCCATTATGGCCTTCTAAGCCCACCAGAGAAGAAATATTCCCCTTAATTTACTGGATGCATAAAATTTTAAAGGAAAAATGCCAGCTTTTTTAACACAAGGAAGAGTTTAGCTTTAAAATAAACAAGCAAAGATGCAGGATACACAGCCAAAGATCTAAAATTATTGTCACCTTTATAATCACATATCACATTGTGTTGGACAAGTCTGTCCAACACAATGGGGATGATTTACTAAACATGGAGAAAATAAGTAATTCGCCTCTAAATGATTGGGTATGCAATGTGACAATGTCACGTTATTCACTAAATTAACCGCTAGCCTACAGGGCACTTATACCCCCTTCCTGCCCAGGCCAATTTCCAGCTTTCACCGCTGTCGCACTTTGAATGAAAATTGCGTGGTCATGCAACATTGTACCCATATGAAATGTTTATAATTTTTTTTTGTGACAGATAGAGTTTTCTTTTGGTGATATTTAATCACCTTGGGTTTTTTATTTTTTCTTAAACAAACCAAAAACCACTGAAAATTTTGAACAAAAAAAATTTTTTCTTAGTTTTTGTTATAAAATTTTGTAAATAAGTGTTTTTTTTTCCTTCACTGATATGTGCTAATGAGGCTGCAGTGATGGGCACTAATAGGCTGCACTGATGGACACTGATAGGTGGCACTGATGAGGAGGCACTGGTAGGTGGCACTGATGGGCATTGACAGGCATCACTGATGGGCACTGAAAGGCAGTACTGATACATGGCACTGATAAGCAGCACTGATAGGCAGCACTGACTGGCACTGACAGGTGGCACTGACTGGCACTGATTGGCACTGATTGGTATTGATGGGTGACACTGAAAGGCAGCTCAGATGGGCACTGATATGTGGCATGATGTGCACTGGTAGGCACTGATATGTGGCATTGATGTGGCACTGATGGGTACTGGCACGGGCACTGATGAGCACTGAGGCACTGATGGACACTGACAGGTGGCACTGCTGAGGCTACACAGATCATCAGTGCCCTGATGATCAGTGTACATGTCCTCTCCCTCCGCGGAATGCCGATTACCAGCTCTCCTCTCGAGTTGTCAGCGTGACAGCTCGAGAGGAGAGAAATGCCGATAACCGGCATTTCCCTGTTTACATGTGATCAGCTGTGATTGGACACAGCTGATCACATGACCAAGCCGACATCTTTGGCTTTTTCCGTGACCAGCTGTGTTCGAGGGACACAGCACATTGCCGACCGCCGCACTGCGCGCTCTCTGAGCCACGCATGCACAATGAGAATTGGAGGACGTCATATGACGTCCTCCCAGAAGGAGAGAACCACCTTGTGCCCGTCATATTACTATATGGCGGGCGGGCGGTGGTTAAAGTTAAAATTCACTTTGCTTAGTACACATTCCCTACTGTAGTAAATCAACCCCTCTGTGCAAGTTTAATCAACTCAGCAAAGTTATTGGTAATATGTGACACGGCTGCGTATCATTGTTTTAAGTGCGCTTAAAGAACTAAAAGAACAAAAACATGTTGCAATTTTTTCACTGATGTCGTTTCACAGATCACAATGGTTTTTTTGATGAGCCATTTTCCATTGCATACCATTTACTTGGTGTCTGGCAGAACTACAAACACAGTTCCACAGAACAGACCGATCCAAGCCTATATGTAAATTCAAAGGCAAATATAAGCACACAAAACACATATTTCTCCTTGAAAGCAAAGCAACCTTGACAGGTCACACTGTCATTATAAGAAAGGGGCAGAAAATTACACTTGCTTTCAATAGGATATAAATTAACAAAACAATGCCTGAATATTGCCAAGCTCACCGTTGAAATAATGTTCTAGAAAATAAGTTTAATTTATTCTTTGACTCTTGCAGAAAAATGAACATTCTCATACCTCCCAAATGTTTAACTAAGAGGGATACTGTCAAGCACAATGAATTTACACCCTGGCTAAGGATACAGATGCATGGACGTGTGCAAAAAAATTGTTTAATTGTAAGCTAGTGGTTAATTGCTATATTCACTACTGCTACAAATGAAATGATTTGAAGTTTGGTGAAAGTTTTAGTGTAGTAGTACTCTCTGGTAGTCAACAAAGACCTCCAGCCAAAAATAACACGATAAAAATGAATAGGCCAATAAAGATAAAATGGCAAAACTGACTTTACGACTCACTGCAATATTCAGCTTCAATCCAGAGATACATTTTTCTCTTGCTGGATGTCCTCAGTCTGATGGCCATGGTCATTCATCCTACTTCCTTTTGACCTAGGTTGTCCTCGACCAGCCCCATCCTGTTACTACTTAGTGAAAGGAACAGCAACACAGCGGGGTTAATTTATTAAGACTGGATAGTGTTTGTTCAGTTAAGCTTTGACAATAAAACCTGGAAGTGGATTGGTTTCTATGTGGAGCTACACCAGATTTTGCATGCTCCAGTTTTAGTAAACCAACCCCAGTGAAGACCTTCTTGGTTACTCTGACTTCAGCTCTTATCATTAGCACAGCACTTCCCAGCAGATACATTGAAATGGCTCCTTGTATATCTTCTTCCTCCCACACACCAACAAGACGGATTCCAGTTCAAATTTAGAAACTTGCATTTAAAACTTAAAGCCCAACCCCCAGAAAATAGAAAAATCAGTCATTGCAGTGGGGCCCTCTGCAATACCAGGGTTAATTGCTTTTTTATTCTAGGGGAAGAGGATCAAGGAGTATATACAGGGTGCAGCAACATAACTTCCTTTTTTGAAATGCGTGCCATTCAGGCGGTAGCGGCCATAGCGGGGGGAGGGAGTGGGAGTGGTCTCAGGCGACAGGATTAGTTCTAAAGTTTTTGTTCTCTTTCCAGGTCAGTCATCATCATGTGTTGGAACAGTGAGCAGTGTGCGTTTGCCGTAGAGGCCTACTTTTCGAACGGATTTTCTGTGATCGCAACCCAACGCGCTTCCGACATTGCTTCAATGTAGCCCCGTTGGGCCATGTCCCGAACTGGAAATCAATTGTTACGTGGGTCACTACGTTCAGACAAACCGCGAGTACGACAAGACGAAGAGCTGGAGTCCCTCGACCCATCAGATCACCTGAGAACATCGAAGCAGTGAGAGCTTCCCGCTTTTATGTAAACCGTCCAAGGACCCTACAAGACCTGAAGGCCAACATCCGCAAAGAAATTGCCAACATACCCGCTGCTATGCTGGTAAAGGTCATGAAAAACGCCAGAAATCGGCTTATTCAGTGTATGGACAATGGGGGGCGTCACCTACCTGATATGATTTTCAAAACTGTGTAAAACAGAACTTTAGATATGTACCTACATTATTAAAAGACAATAAAAACAATTCTGATTCATAAAATGGGTTTTATTGCGTTTTGAAAAAAGGAAGTTATGTTGCCGCACCCTGTACTTACCTTATTCAGGCAGGCTCCTTCCAGCGCTGCAACTAGTCCCCCCGTAGCTGCTCTCTAAGCTGCGACCTACTTCAGTTACACTCCAACCTCCTCAGCATACCATACAGGGTTAATGCCCCTGTATAGCACATGACGACGTTAAGACTCCATCTACAGATGGAGCTTCAGGCAGAGGAGGAGAACACCCTAGCTGGCTGTGCACAGAATCATGTAAGTTGAACAGCCTCTTCATCTCTCCACTAGACATAGTGAGCAAATACACTTTGCAGTGTGGGGGGTGTTTGTTTTATTTTCCTGAAGTGGGGCTTTAAAACTATCTAGAAAAGATTACAAATCAGCATATTCTTCTCCTAAGGATCACAGGAGTGTAGTTCGTTCTGCACTACTGTGACCCGTTTTCAGGGTGACCCGTAAAGTTCACTGTCAGATGACATTACTCTGAAAAGATCCTGATCATATGGTCGTGATCCACTCAGAAGCCTGGACCGCACCTGGCTCAGCCTCTCAGCGATCCGCCAAGAGCCTGAGCCAGCCCCTCACACCCCCTCCACAGCCCAGAGCTCAAGTGAGAGCTGGAGGGGCAGAGCTGAGAGCTGGTGACTGACTGTCATGGCTCTCTGCTCAGAGCAGAGGGGAAAACTGAGCGATAAGCAGTGTTTGATCTCTCAGTTCTCACTGCAGAGCCAGTGGGGGACCAATGCAGCATCAGATTAATTGCTGCATCCACCTAGGTGAGAATAAATATGTATTTTTTTTTTTTTTAAGTCCATACGTGTCTTAATTATTGCCTACAGTTCAGCTTTACATAATTAGTACATTTTTAAAGAGGCCTTTACATCACACACAAACAAAAAGAGGGCAACGGAGGTGGAAAGAGGGTTAGATGGATTTGGTTCCAAAGGAAAAGGCTTTCTAAATGAGGAACTGTTGAGAGCCCCGATTATGCTTCATGTATACAAGCCTAACCTGACCGCCGGCAGCGGGAAACCGCAAATTGTGGCAAAAATGCAGTACCGCGGTTTTGCGAATCTTTCGCATTCAGGAGAGGGAGGTTTAACCTCACCTAAAATGCGGCAGCTCCTAAACTCAGCTAAAAGTACACAAGCCTACCTGACCGCCGCCGGCCGTGGGAAAACACAAATCGCGGCAAAATGCAACAGACGCTCTACCGCAATTTTGCATTTTCCTGTGGTTGGCGGTCAAAATGTTCGTATCCTGAACACAATTCTTTCGTGTTCAGGAGAGGAGGTTTAACTTCACCTAAACGTGGCAGCTCCTAAACTCTGGTAAAAGTCTATCTGTACATGGACACAGGCTTTCATGGAGTTGAGTTTAGGAGCTTTGGCAAAAAAAAAATACCAAAAGCTCCTAAACTTAAGTTTAGCAGCTGCTTGTGTACATGAAGCCTTAGAGTAGCATATATATATATATATATATATATATATATATATATATATATATATATATATATATATATATATATATATATATAATAATATTGAAGTTAAATATGTGATCATTTTAATTTGAACTTTTAGAAAAAAAATAAATAAATAATGGCAGTCACATCTCTAATATGTGACTAGGATTATATAGACAGATATATAATTTCAGTCTTGTATACGTATTTACGATGAGTGAAGCTATTATGACTTAGGGTGCAACTCAACAAGTAATGCAGTATAACATATACAATGACATGCTTAGTATGTATATGCTTTGGTCGTCTATTTCCACTGCAGCACTGACCTGAACTGTTTGAGTATGACTGTTTCATTCAACACTGAGATAAATTGAAGTTCTAACATGCCTTAACTTTCATGTGAGTGGTGGACAATAACCTTTGTCTTGCTGACACACATATCTGCCCATTTGAATACAGACCCATGTTTTGGTATTAAATTGGAATATTTGTCCAAAAAAAAAAAAAAAAAAAAAAAACCATACTCACACTAACCTATATTACCTTTGCTTAGCAAAGTGTTGATTCTGATTCATGTTCTTAGGTCACCTGATATAGCTATTTTCTTCATCCTGACAAAGTATCATCACTCAGAGCTCATTGCCTTAGGTTTTAAAAAGGAGGTAAACTGACCAGTAAACTGCAATTTGTAGGCTGTCGAGTAAACAGGAGAAAGTTCATAGGGTGCATCTGCATTATCAGACCTTCATGTGCTGAGGATGATAGTCACTGTATAAGTACTGGCTGGGAAGAGCACTGAGACAGCACTTCTGAGAGTAGAAACAGACTCCAACAAGAAAGAGAAAAGCAAGAAGGCACTTCCAAGTGCAGCAATTTTTAGCAATGTATTAAAGGAAGCGGTAAAAATCACAAGAATGTGTATAAAGAAAGGCCTATCAACTCATTTGCGTGCGGGGTTGCTGTCACTGTTTTGCCTCTTGCCGTACCAACCAGCAGCTGCAGGGGAAGGTTGGAGCGCAAAGTCAAGATGGCTGTCGCTCTTCCAGGTCGCCGTGGAACGCACATATCGGAAGTGACATCAGGAAGGGGGCAGTGACGCGTTTCGGAGCATGCACAGACGGCTCCTTCTTCAAGCCCTCAACTTCAAGACCTCTTGAGGTCTCGAAGAAAGAGCCGTCTGCACGGGAATGATGATCAGCTTTTGTTTATACACATTCTTGTAAGTGTTTTTAACCGCTTCCTTTAATAAATAGCTGGAAATTGCTGCACTTAGAAGAGCCTTCTTGCTTTCCTCTGTCAATAAACTGCAATTACTGTCGGAAAATTGA